CTAGAAACTTCCGATTTTGTGATTTTTTCCTCCAATGAAGTGCCGCCAATCTCCACCAATCACTGGCGTTTCGGCCGCCCCAAGGTTTGACCTAGCAGTTGTTTCAGTGTTTCCCTTCAGGCTAACCGACAGCAGCTGCTTCCCTTTTTTCCTGCGTCCAACGGCCGCGACAAGCTCGCTAAATAATAGACACTCTACTAAAGCACAACAGCCCCCAGACTTGACCTCAGCTTAGTAAAGGTCACGCTGGCAGATAAGGCTATCTTACACGCATATGTCCCCCAGACGGACATATTTATCACACGCGAGCAAACAGTCCATTTGCGGAAACTTGCCTTGTGTACTAAAAAAATCGCTCCTAACATCTAACGCTTGCATGAAGCTTAATCTCACCGACTACCAACCAGACTATAAGGCCATCAGCGAATCCATGCAGCAACGGAAGTCGCATTAACAATGAGCATTATAACATTATTTAAAAGAATATATCCAGAGGCTTACTATACTCACATTTAATTTAATCTTAAAATATACTATATGGCTCTTACTGAAATATATTTCAAAATATTTGCTTTCTGGGTTCTCTGAATCAAAAAGGTTGTCGACCCCTGCCCTAGGGGCTGTGTTAGGTGGGGATGCATGATTGACTAAACATGCGTGGTTGGGCTTTGAGCTAGCACCTGTGAGATCAGTATATAAATAATTAACTACGTGACATTATTAACTGTCTGTTGGCAGTCTGTGAATATTATGCGGTTAGTCAACAGTAGGTAATGTATTGTAGCTTAACAATTCACATCAACATTCAGACTGAGTCTAAAACGTTTTGTTTCGAAGGATGTACTTCAGATTCACACATTAATTCCCTCGAAAATGAAAGAAGGCTTCATAACCACCCCTGCTGAAGAAAACATTTAGAGGTGTCTTTTTAAAGCACTGCTATCGACATTCAAGAGGCTTCAATGTGACGCCTTTCAAACCTACATAGCCTACAAATTCAAACGTATAATTGCAGGAAAAAAGTAACTTGTTTGGAAAGGTCTGCGACAAACGATCACAAACGAGCAAAGAACAATAGTTAAAGGGAATAATAAGCCTCGGCTGAAATGACATAAAGAGCCAAGTCGTCCGACACTGTTTTCACACGAGACCCGAGGGAGTTCAATCGCCACCCGGCTATCACCATCAACGGTGCGTCTTTACCGCTGTTCCGTAAGCCGAGGCTTCTTAGCGTCCGTTTCGATCTTCTCTTCACGTTCGCGGACCCTGCAAGAGAGGTCGCAAGCAAAGTGAGCCGCTGCACAAATGTGTTCAAGGCTCTTGCAGGCACATCCTGGGGCTGCACTGGACAAGCTGCATCTCACCTATGCGGCACCGATTTGGTCTCCCACAATCAGCTCTTCCAGCCTCCACCGCCATCAGCCA